AGGGGGCACACCTACCATCAAATTGAGATGAGCGGCGATTAGCTGCGACCCCCGAGTCAATGAAAGGGACCGCAACGGGACACAGCGACCCTGGACGCACGCGGGGGCCTGCTGGAACCACGGGCCTGGGGCCTCCCACGGGCGCTCAAGGCACTCTTGCATCCCAGCTCTGGCAGCCCAGGGTCGTCCTTCGCCACCCCCCCGTGCACGCTTCGTCTTCACGGCGCTCGTTGTCATCAGTTGCAGCGCTGAGAGCAGGTGCGTGAAGGGTGGGCCTTGGCAGCAGCTCCTTCCCGCCCAGCAAGGCGGCAGGTGGCATTGGGGCCCAACGTGATCTGTGACTGCAGTGGGATCTGAGTGTGTGTCCCGCGGGTACTCCTGGGGCTCTTGCATCCCGGCGTTGTCCTCCCTGGGGTGCCTGCCGTTCGGGTTCGGGTCCGCCCTCCTTGGTTCAGGTACTCTTGCATCCTGGTGCTGTCGGTTCAGCGGACGCGGAAGCACCATCCAATCAATAGAGATCCACGTGCTCTGGCGCATTGCCGGGATGTGGGAAGCTAAGTTGGAGCCCGCGTCGTCAGTTGCAGCGCTGGGATCAGGGGACACTCCTACCATCAAGTAGAGATGAGCGGCGATTAGCTGCGACCCCCGAGTCAATGAAAGGGACCGCAACCGGACACACCAACCATCAAATAGAGATCATATCGGCGATTCGCTGCGACCCCCGAGGTGATTAAAGAGAGATTTCGGCGGCGATTAGCTGCGACCCCCGTGGAGATAAGAGAGAGCATAGCGGCGAGTAGCTGCGACCCCGAGAATGACCCAAGATATGACCATGGCCCATAACCCCCGGATTCGGGGCCAGGCCGAGGGGTGAGGCGGTGCTTCCCCTCGCCTCTCCCCTCTCGGGCCTGGCGGGTGTCCCCCGCCCTCGGCCTCGGGGCCTGCCAGACGTGCTATCAGACGTCGGGGTGGTTGCCCCCCCTCCCAGGGCCGCCCGTTCCGCGCTAGTCGTGGTCTGGCTCCTCACTCTCAGCGGAGTTTGCTTCGGCCCTGGAGGACCTCGTGGTGTGTGTAGGGTCACGGGCCCGGGGGGCAGTGCCAAGCGGCGGACTGGGCCAGACTTGCCTCCTGGCCCCCGTGTCCTCCACAGTGCAGCTCCCCCGGGCGCTTCGCCCTATGACGCCGCAGAAGGCAGCACTACCACCAGTGCCGCCCCCCCTCACTCCCCCCGCTGGCGATGCGTCCCACGCCTGCGGGCCCTCCCCCCCATCTCTGAGGCCAGGCGCCGTGCCGGCACGCGCTGCGTGGCCCACAGTCGCTTGTTTCCCCCATGCACTGTGGGGTGGTCTCTCGGGTGTTGGGTCGCCACGGAGTGGTTCAGCTTTCCGCAGCAGGTGCAGCACCCAAGGCTCATCCACCAGCTTCCGGCCAGTGCGCTGCACCGTGGTTCGCGCTGCTCATGGTCCTTCTTGGCCCCTCCAGCGACATTTTCCCCGGCTTTGGGGTGACACCTGGTGGGTGTCGGCGCTAGGGCTCTGGGGCTGCGCCATGCGACAGCCTGGGTTGGCTGGCCACCTCAGCTTCACTGCAGCAGGACCCCCTGGCAGGCAGCGCAGACGTCACCACCATCAGTGTGCCGACCATCACCGCCCGACGGCGGTGCTCCCCACGCCAGCGGATCCCTTCGCTTCAGGGATCGGCATCGCAGTTGCGCCTTGGGCACAGCCGGGTGGCTCCCCTCGGCACTGGGAGGCGGATTGCTGAGGACTGGGCGCTGAGTGGTTCAGCCTGCAACGCCTGTACAGCCTTTGGTTTTCCCTCTGTCGCGCACCGTTTCTGGCTTCGGCCGCACAGCCGTTCGGCTTGTGCTGGTCGGCCACGGAGTCTGGCGCCGCCCTGGCGACTCACTTCGTTGCATCCGCACATTCAACACGGCGGCCTGCTCACTGGTTCGGGCTGCGATGCCTAAGTGCGTTTGCCTTGAGAATTTAGTTCATTTTGTTCTGTGCACGGGCAACTGCGAGCCTGTCTTGCTGGTGCGAGCTTTTTCCGCCGACTCTGGTTGGCGGCGAATTGTCTTGCAAATTAGCCCCGTACCGTGACCCGGGCGCCGCTTCCGCTCCCTGTCCGTTGCCTCGGAGCCGCTGACCAAAAAAAATACCCCCACCAGCCGTCACCGCATGTCCGGCTTGTACCCTGCCACAGCTGTGGCCCTGGCCTTTGGCGCCCTGTGGCGACATGGTCAGCTCGTACCTGGTCGCTCACGCCCATGGTACCTGAGCTCGGATGCGTTGCTTCCAGCTGTTCGTTCCTGGTAGCGCGCCGCCCACTGGGTTGGCCCGGCGGTGGAGGCGCTCCGCTAGTTTGATGCGTGGTTTGCATATACAGGGCCGATCGTGCTCTTGGGAGCATTTTGGAGGCCTCTTGGGTGCCTGTTGGGGCCTCCTGGGCGCCTTTTGGGGCCCTCTTGAAGCGCTCTTGGGAGCCTGGGGAGCGCTCTTGGGGCCATCTTGGGGGACATCGATCGAAGAAGAAGCGAACATTAGTTAGCGTTGCCCCTCGGGAGCCCAAACAATCGCCTCTTGGGGCGCTCTTGGGGCGCTCTTAGGCGCTCTTGGGGCCGTCTTGGGGCTCTCTGGAGCCTTTCTGGGAGCCCGGGCCATCTTGGAACCATCTTGAGGCCTCGGATGGCCATCGGAAGCGAAAAGGCGAGAAAGCCAAACACATAGAATTTCTCTAGGTTTTGGCCTCTTCGGGGCCTCCTGGGGGAGCTCTGTGGCCACTGGGAGCCGTCTTGGAGCGGTCTTGGGGCATCTTGGAGCATCGTGGGAGCCATTATGAGACATCTTGGAATATCTTGAGCCATCTTGGAGGTCATCTTGGGCTTTCCCAGGCGCTCTTGGACTCATCTTAGTCAGTGCCCCCCCAAGAGGCCAACATGTGGCGAACACCTTCGTGAAACCAAAGATTTGGCATTCTCGCCGAGGCCTCTTGGAGCATCTTGGGTGCCTCTGGGGGGTGTCTTGGGGCCTCTTGGGGGTCTCTCTCGGGAGCCTTTCGGGGCATCCTGGGGGCTTCTTGGGGCTTCCTGGCCACCTCTTGGGGCCCTCGTGGGGCACCCTTGGGAGCCTTGGGAGCCTTGGGGGCCATCTTTGGGCCATCTTGGGTAAGATCGATCACAGGAGGGGGGGGCACTAATTAGGGTCCCCCCCCTCAGGAGGCCAAAGTGGGGCCTACACCGTAGTAAAGCAATGATTTTGGCTTCCTCGCCGAGGCCGTTTTGGACGCTCCGGCACCCCGCGAAACCCCCTGTCCAGGTCCGAGGGGTATGGGGAGGGGTAAACCCTTCGCCGAAGGGAAAGAAGGAGGGGTGGAAGAGGAAACTCCCTAAACCACCGACGCACAGAGGGCTGGTGGGATTTCTGCGTTTCCGCACTTCCCCTTCTGTGCGATTCCGAGGCTTGCGCAGGGCCCCCAAGGGAGTCCCTGGACGCAAGAAGCGACCAACATGATATTACATGAGTTAGCCGATCAAGCCTAGCTAGAGCTTGAGTGCGCGCGAAACGCGCGATGGTTCTAGTACGCATATACATGCATGGATGCATGCATGCATGCATACATACATACAACATATATATACACATATTTCTATACTTATGTGTATATATATGCATATGCATGTATATATATATGTGTATATATATATACACACGTATATATTCATATTCCTATGTTCATACATGCAAGGCTGCATTGGGCTTTTGTGCCATGCTTCTTTGTCCTTGAAGCTTTGCTTATGCTGGTCGTTCACGCCGTCCCTAGTGGCCTTGGAAATTTGCCGCGCTCCCTGCCGTGGTTTTTGGAAGTCTTGAAAGTTCGGGCGGTCCGTGGCCCTTCTTGGGCCTCCGGCGGCTCCCGAAAGGCGCCGGGTGGAGGGCGAAGGATAGGAGGGAGGGAATCTCGGGGAGCGAGTGGTGGAGCGGCAGAAAGGCGAGGAGGACGAGGAGGAGGAGGACCCAGAGTAGGAGCAGGAGGAGGGAAAGAGATGGTACCGTCGGGGGACGGCGAAGAGTTTCGGTTGCGCCGCACCGGGGAGGGCTGTCCAGAAACAAACGGCTACGGTTTCATGTGTACGCGCACGCTTGCAGAAATGTCTGGCAGTGAATGACGACGAAAGGCCTTCGTAGGCCCGCACATTGGCCCGCCCGTGGCTCAGGTGCCCCAGTGCGCAATTGGACAAAATGGCAAGCCACGCGAATGACTGCCAAGCAAAAGGACGCAAGGTCGAGCAAGGCCGCAAAGTACAACGCATTGCAGTGCCGAGGATGGCATGTCGCAGTTGGTCGCAACGGGGCACGCGAAAGGAAGTCATTCTTGGGGAATTCTGCGAATCCCGGGTTCGCAACAGATTTCCGGGAAATGTGGTTGCGAAGCCGGGATTCGGGTCAGCTTGGTTGACGACGCCCCGCGGGCCTTGTCAGAGCCCTGGTGGGCCGGCTTGGGGCCTCGAGCCGTCCTGGAACCATACTGGGCGCGTTGGGGATCTTGGGCCTTCTAGGGACCTCACGGGGGCTACGTGGGCCTTCCTGGTGGCACCCCATGACCTTTCTGGGGACCTCCCATGGCTTTCTTGGGCTTCTCTTTGGGGCCTTGTGAGGGCCTGGTGGGTTTCTTTTTGGCCTATTTGGGGCCTCCTTGGACAGTCTTGGGGCCATCCGGGCCGTCTAGAGGCTCTCTTGGGGGTCTCTTGGGCCGTCTTGGGGCGACACCAGAGGCCTGTGTGGCCGTTTTGGACGGTGTTAAGGCTCGAACAGCGAATCTGCTGAAAATGTACGGTTCTTGTCTCCCTCCTCCCTAATCTCTCCTCCCTCCAGTAGTTCGTCGATCGAGTCCCGTAGACCCCATCGACCCTGTCTAGTACCCTGCCCCCATCGCGACCGAAATCTCCTTCCCCCTCTTCTCCCTCCTTGCCCGACAGCGGCACCAAGTGGCAAGGGGAGGCTCCATCGACGACAGCATGCCCAGAGAATTCGTTCTGGCATCCAAAGGCGTGTTCGCCAGAACGGCTGCAAGCGATGCAAACCCAACTCCGGAGGACAGGGGAGGGAAAGGGGGGGCGAGGATGAGGATGAGGAGGGTGATGAGGATGATGATGCTGATGCTGATGCTGATGCTGATGCTGGTGATGATGATGATGATGATGATGATGATGATGATGATGATGATGATGATGATGATGATGAGGAGGAGGAGGAGGAGGAGGAGGAGGAGGAGGAGGGCGGGAAGGGAGGAAGATCCTGCAGGGGGAGGAGCACCAAGGAGGTGGATAAGGAGAGGAAGGATGGGAAGGGATGGTGGAGGCTCGAAGAGGCGAAGGATGCCGAGAAGGAGGAGGAAAGAGGATGAGGTGGAGGGAGTAGGCTGATGAGGAAGGTGAGTGAATTGGTTCAGGAGGAGGTAGAGGAGTACGAGGAACAGATGAGGAGGGGGACGAGGGTGGTGATGCTGCTGCTGATGATGATGCTGCTGATATTGATGAGGATGCAGCTGATAATGATGATGCTGATGATGATGATGCTGCTGATGATGGTGGTGATGCTGATTCTGATAATGATGATGCTGATGATGATGATGATGATGATGATGATGATGATGATGCTGATGCTACTGATGATGATGCTGATGCTGCTGATGCTGATGATGATGATGATAATGATGAGGATGATGAGGAAGACGAAGAAGAGGAGGAGGAGGAGGAGGAGGAAGAGGACGAGGGGAGAGGAGGAGTAACAGGATGATGAGGATGAGGATGACGAGGGGGAGGGGGAGGCGGAGTAGGATAATGATACACATGGATGTGGAAGCAGAAGGAGGAAACAGGGACGGAAGGAGGAGGAATTGGATGAGGCGGGGAGGAATTGTTGATATTATTCAGGTTGAGGTTGATGTTGGGTACAGGCCGGAGTAAGAGTTGGAGCTTGAGGCAGGGATGAGGATGTTGATTTTGGCGTGACCCCTGGCCTACTTTCGCATTCGCACTGCTCATGCGATGGGCCCAGCGTTTGGTAGTGTTGGGACTTGCTGCCCGTGAATGCAAGCGTATGATACACACAGCTGGTAGCACGATATTGTCCAGGTGCGCCCCGAATGTGGCCCTCCTGTTTAAATCAGAGTCCTCCTCTCTTTTGCTGTCCTTGCGTTCCGCCGTGCTCGAATTCGCTTCTTGCGCGTCCCACCCGTAGCACGACAGGCGCCTGCACCTGCTTTGGCCCGCTTGTGCCCGCTGACACAAAAAACAGTTGCTTGAATCAAACTGTTAGTCGAGACGCCTGTCATTTCCGCCGCGTTCCAGTCAGTGCCGCGCCAAGTCGAGATCTTGTTTCTTCCTGCAGTCCACGCATCAACACTGAAGATTTGGCAAGCCACCTCGCTCGTGAGCGGTCAGTCGTGGTCGGTGTGGCCAACATCTGTTGGAGAGCTGCAGCGATTCTCCCCCCCACCATCCAGCCTCCCCCCCGCCCCACTTCACTTCCCAGTCTCATCTGTCTTCCGCATTTGCCACCCGTCTCTCGTTTGTCCACCGAGACTGCCATCGGACGGTGTGCGGGAGGGTTGCACTCCTGGTGTGCACGTGCACGGGCAGCGGCGGCTCTCCGACGCAGCGACCCGGCGCGCGCGACTCTGGGAGTCTTCCTCCTCCTCCGCGGAGGCCCCCGGAGGCCTCCGGAGGCCTCTGGAGGTCCCTGGGATGCGGGCCTGGAATGCCCGTCCCCTCTCCTCTCCTTCTCTGGGCGGCCTCCGGGAGCTTGCCGCGGCGGGGTGGGGGGGAAGTCTCCAAAGGCGCCTCTGGAGGCCCTTGGAGGCCCAGCAGGTGCCGGCGTCCAGCAACCTCGCATGCTCGTATCCTCGGATTCTCGATTCTCGACTCGGCGTCCTCCTCCCCAGAGATCCGATGTCGTGATTGTTTCAGTACGGGGTCCCCAGAAGTCTCGACCCATTCACCAGGACGGGCTTTTCGTCTTGAATTGTTCCCAACCGTCCTGTGGTGTTGGGTCCTCGTTTTGAAGAGACGGTGCCCCGCGTTCCTCTTCTCCTCCCGTCCCCCCCCTCCCTCCTCCCATCATCATCATCATCATCATCATCATCATCATCATCATCATCATCATCATCATCATCATCATCATCATCATCATCATCATCATCATCATCATCATCATCATCATCATCATCATCATCATCATCATTCGGCACACCCCTCACACGTTTCGTGGCCCCATAGGGAGCTCCACCGAAGGCCCCAGTGGCAGGGTCCGCATGCTCCCACCACCCATTTCGGCACACCCCTCACACGTTTCGTGGCCCCATAGGGAGCTCCACCGAAGGCCCCAGTGGCAGGGTTCGCATGCCTCCCCACCACCCATTTCGGCACACCCCTCACACGTTTCGTGGCCCCATAGGGAGCTCCACCGAAGGCCCCAGTGGCAGGGTCCGCATGCCTCCCCACCACCCATTTCGGCACACCCCTCACACGTTTCGTGGCCCCATAGGGAGCTCCACCGAAGGCCCCAGTGGCAGGGTCGCATGCCTCCCCACCACCCATTTCGGCACACCCCTCACACGTTTCGTGGCCCCATAGGGAGCTCCACCGAAGGCCCCAGTGGCAGGGTCCGCATGCCTCCCCACCACCCATTTCGGCACACCCCTCACACGTTTCGTGGCCCCATAGGGAGCTCCACCGAAGGCCCCAGTGGCAGGGTCGACCAGGCCCCACCAGCTCCGTGGCGGGTCCGCATGCCTCCCCACCACCCATTTCGGCACACCCCTCACACGTTTCGTGGCCCCATAGGGAGCTCCACCGAAGGCCCCAGTGGCAGGGTTCCGCATGCCTCCCCACCACCCATTTCGGCACACCCCTCACACGTTTCGTGGCCCCATAGGGAGCTCCACCGAAGGCCCCAGTGGCAGGGTTCGCATGCCTCCCCACCACCCATTTCGGCACACCCCTCACACGTTTCGTGGCCCCATAGGGAGCTCCACCGAAGGCCCCAGTGGCAGGGTTCGCATGCCTCCCCACCACCCATTTCGGCACACCCCTCACACGTTTCGTGGCCCCATAGGGAGCTCCACCGAAGGCCCCAGTGGCAGGGTTCGCATGCCTCCCCACCACCCATTTCGGCACACCCCTCACACGTTTCGTGGCCCCATAGGGAGCTCCACCGAAGGCCCCAGTGGCAGGGTTCGTATGCCTCCCCAACACCCATTTCGGCACATCCCTCACACGTTTCGTGGCCCCATGGGGATTTCCACTGAAGGCCCCAGTGACTGGGTTCGCATGCGCCCCCACACCCATTTCGGCACACCCCTCACACGTTTCGTGGCACCATAGGGAGCTCCACCGAAGGCCCCAGTGGCTGCGTTCGCATGCCGCCCCCACACCAATTTCGGCACACCCCTCACACGTTTCGTGGCCCCACAGGGAGCTCCACCGAAGGCCCCAGTGGCTGCGTTCGCATGCCGCCCCCACACCAACTTCGGCACACCCCTCACACGTTTCGTGGCCCCATAAGGAGCTCCACCGAAGGCCCCAGTGGCAACGTTCGCATGCCGCCCCCACACCCATTTCGGCACACCCCTCAAACGGTTCGTGGCCCCATAGGGAGATCCACCGAAGACGGTACTCACACCAGCATTACTCACAACTGCATATGGTTGGGTCCTTCGCCAGGCTAATTTCCCAACCATCCGGTGGTGTTGGGTCCTCGTTTTGAAGAGACGGCGCCCCGCGTTCCTCACCTCCTCCTCCTCCCCCCCTCCCTCCTCCCATCATCACCATCATCACCATCCCATCCATCCCATCATCATCATCATCATCATCATCATCATCATCATCATCATCATCATCATCATCATCATCATCATCATCATCATTCATCATTCATCATCATCATCATTCATCATCATCATCATCATCATCATCATCATCATCATCATCATCATCATCATCATCATCATCATCATCATCATCATCATCATCACCACCGATTTCGGCACACCCCTCACACGTTTCGTGGCCCCATAGGGAGCTCCACCGAAGGCCCCAGTGGCAGGGTCCGCATGCCTCCCCACCACCCATTTCGGCACACCCCTCACACGTTTCGTGGCCCCATAGGGAGCTCCACCGAAGGCCTTAGTGGCAGGGTTCGCATGCTCCCCCACCACCCATTTCGGCACACCCCTCTCACGTTTCGTGGCCCCATAGGGAGCTCCACCGAAGGCCCCAGTGGCAGGGTTCGCATGCCTCCCCAAAACACCCATTTCGGCACACCCCTCACACGTTTCGTGGCCCCATTAGGGAGCTCCACGAAGGCCCCAAGTGGAAGGGTCCGCATGCCTCCCCACCACCCAATTCGGCACACC